GAAGCACCCCGAAACATTCTCTTACTTTAGCACTCTTGAAAATCACCCCCATTTGGGAGCCTGATCCTGGGAAAACTCAGAGGTAGCTAAATCCAACAATCAAGGGAGTTCAGGGCGGTTCATGGGCAAATGTGCTCCTTTTAATGCCAGTACCCTGTTTCCCAGCTGGGAAGATAACTCATTTCCGATTCTGTCCTCCCACTGCCTACTCATTACTCCTCTGCCTGACCATCCCCCACCTTACCTCCCATGTCCCAACTTGTACCCCTCAGCTCCAGCTGGGAGCTTTATCTCTAGAATCTGACCCAGCTGATTCTAGCAGGGCTGCATTCTTTGTTCTGGATCTGAAGTCTCCAAGAAGGGCAGGGAATGAACTCGCCCAGGCTGTGCAGCAGAGGCATTTGGAGCCTCACAGTTTTGCCTTGAGAAATACTGCTTGCATTGATACTACACTTGATCTTAGCCAAAAGGCAGAGAAGTGAAGATAAATGCTACTTGCATTGAGCAGAGGAGCTGGGAGATGCTCTGTGACAGGCCTGGCCTGAACCTGGTCTCTTGGCACCTGAATGCCCACATTCATGCTTATATCTGCCAACTTTTGACCTTGTGAGGACAGAGGCTTTGCCTTGAAAATGAAGTTTCCCTTTTTGGGTTCTTATTGTCATTATAAAAGAACTTTAGCTAGGTGTCCTGGCATATGCATTTAATTCCAGCACTTGGGATGCAGATGCAAGTGAACTCTGAGTTTGAGGCCAGCCTGGTTTGCATAGTGAGTTCTAGACCAGCCCGGCTACACAGTAAGAAACTGATTAAAAAAATTTTTTTCAGTGGACTCAGAAGGAAGCTCATGGACAATTTTATTAGAATTTTAGAGAAAAACAACAGTACAAATAAGCTGAAAATTAGGGCAGCCAGAAGGAGGAGGGGAGGTGGAGAACACGTTGTACCTTTTCAGCCACGGAGGTCAGAGAAACTGTGAGAAAGTCCAGATGTCAAAGCATGCTTAGAAGTGCTGAGCCAGGGATCTGGTCAAAGAGCATTCAGTCCAATCCAAGGCTCTTGGGTCCCAGGACAAAGAATTGCACCAGAGACATATGATTAGAAATGCAAATAAGGGGCTGGAGAGATGGCTCAGTGGTTAAGAACACTGGTTGTTCTTGCAGAAGACCCAGATTTGAATCCCAGCACCCACGTGGCAGCTAACAACTGTCCGAAACTCCAGTCCCCGGGGATTCAACAGCCTCTCTGACCTCCATGGGCATTGTGCGACATGGGTGCACTTACATGCAGCAATACATGCATACACATAAAATAAAAATAATAAATAAAAAATTTTAAAA